AGGATTATGTATATATATAATGTATATATTCATGTTCTATGAATTTCTTTGTTTACTACTTTGTAAGTAAGGAATCGTGGAAAGAAAACTTAGAAGACAAGAAAAATACATACTACTTTTTTACTTCAATGCAATTTAAAACTAGGTATGATTTGAAAGCAGTGATTCTTTTAGAAGGTGCATTCTGTTCACACTAAATTGGACCATATATGTCATCCAATAACTCTATCATTATGGTTGTGGGAAAGTGCTTTAAAATTATACATCGAAGAAATAGTTCTGTTAAAATCTCTCTAACTGGGAACTAAATTAGCCAGAGTTGTTGTGCAGAATGATAGCCTAGTAGAATTTCTCATTTTACAGAGGCTTACATACTATCATAGATATATACTATATACTAGGCAAGAAAAGAAAGCCCGACCTCTACAAATATTTTATTAGGCTGGATTAAAGCATAGGTGCAATGCACCAAAATTTATTCACTTGAGCAATCTTTCCACAAAGACAAAAGGTAAAGTATAATTGTCAACTTTGGGCCAATCTAAGAGATTCAGCAAAATATTAAACAAGAGCACAGGCATTGTAACTAATGTTCTACTTTGAACTGGTCCTCTTAAAAACATCGTTGACTTCCAACATAATGCTAAAACACACAGATAATAAAATCAGCAAGGTACTCACTGCTGATGAAAATATAGTAAGAGCCTAAACTTTAAATAAGAATACTTAAGATGCTAAAAAAAAAAAAAAAAGTGACATGGGCATTGTGATATACCCCAGGACAAAAAGATTTCCATGGTTAAATAAGTTTTGTACAATTTAAGTTCCCTCTTAAAAATTCCCACAACATGTTATAGTTTTAAAGACTCTCAAAAGTCCTGTAGTAAAGAAACACTGTTTAACTATGTTTAGCTCTGATTTTCTCTACTTTATTTAGCTATAGAGCCTTTTTTGATGCACTAATAAGTAACACTTACTGACTCTGTACTAAGGGTGCTTTATAGGAATTAACATTTAATCCTCAAAACAACTCAGAGGTAAATTCTTATTATTATCTCCATTTTGCAGATGAGCAAACTAAGTCAGAAAAGGTAAAATATCTTCCCCCAGGTCACACAGCTAGTAAAGTGGTGGAGCTGGGATTTGAACCCAGGATGGCCTGGCTTCAGAGTCTATTACTAACCATTAGGCAATACTGTTTCTATGTAATATTCATTAGAATCTAAGAGACTGATTTCTTTCCCTGGAATTCTTATTAACAAATGCTGACATACAATTTGTATCTATGCAAATAAATAAATAAATAACACAGAAAAAAAAGTGTGAGGAAATAGAAATCCTAATAGTTAATTCAGTTGTATTTTCCTGTAAGAGTATGAAGATTTCTTTTTTTGTCCAAACTCCCTTCAAAAAACTAACAGCAGTAACGAATATTTACTGAATACTTACACTCTGCAAGGTGTGTACTAAGTGCTATATGTGCATTAATTGCTCACTTTTCATCCCTTTGCAATGGGTATGATTATCTCCATTTTACTATGAGGAAATCAATGCAAATGTTAGCTGTTCTCAAAGCACGGTCCATGAGGTCAAAGCTGTTCTCCTAATAATACTAAAATGTCAGTTGCCTTTTTCACTATACTGCCTTTTGCACAGTAGCAGAAAAGCAATGGTCATAAAACTACTGGCACCTTCACACAAATCGCGCAGTAGCAGCACTACGCTAGTGGTCACTATACTCTCCACTCACAGTTTAACACAAGTCTGTTTTACTTTACACGAAGCTGTAGAAATTATTAATTTCATGAAATCTCAACTCTTGAATACATATCTTATTAATATTCTGAGCGATGGCATGGGAAGTACACATTGAGAACTTTTCTGCACATCCAAGTAGTACAATGATGGCCTCAAGAAAAAGCACTTACAAAATTGTTTGAATCATGACCTGATTCAACTGCTTTTTTCATGAATTATCTTATTACTTAAAAAAACTGAGTAATCCAACTATAGTTATTCAGATTTGGGTATTTAACATTTTCTCAAAAATAAATGAAGCCTGCCCTAACTGGTTTGGCTCAGTAGGTAGAGCGTCGGCCTGTGGACTGAAAGGTCCCAGGTTCGATTCCGGTCAAGGGCATGTACCTTGGTTTCGGACACATCCCCAGTGGGAGGTGTGCAGGAGGCAGCTGATCAATGTTTATCTCATCAATGTTTCTAACTCTCTATCCCTCTCCCTTCCTCTCTGTAAAAAATCAATAAAATATATTTTAAAAAATAATAATAAAAAATAAATGAAGCCTATCCCTTTAAGGAAAATATCTGATAGTATTTGGTACCACTGATAGCATTTGACCTTTCAAGCAAAATTAGAATTTTAGAAAATTTCCACCCCATAAACTTCACAATTCACTAATATTTAAAGACTTCCAGGTTGGTGGTGATATTAATAGATGTGTATTTTTTTTAATTGGTTTAAAACTGAGCACAGACTCAATGCAGGGCAAAAAGATTAAAGGGGACCTTTGCTAGAAGCTTCTAGAAAGAGACTGTTCCTGTTTCAGGAAAGAGGTCAGAAGCCAGTCCTCTCTGAGCAGTGGGACATGTGGATATGAAGCCTGAAACTACTGCAATAATTGTGATCCCAAAGGGAAGCCAACCTCATGGTGAAGCTGACACTGCCAAAGGCAGAAGAGAAGTGGAAAGAAATTAAGTCACTGGCAATGTAACTGAGCAGCTGGATTAAATCACTCCTGAAACCCAGCCTACTTCTGAACTACCCAACACATCCTCTTAACTGTGAAAACAATCTGAATTGGGCACTCTGTTAAAACACAAAGAATCCTATTTTGTATTGCATGTAATCTATACTAATAAAAGGGTAATAAGTTAATTAGAGCGGACGTCTTCCGAATGTCCATCTGGACAAAGCCACAGTGGCTGTGAGGGCCTAGGGCCGGTGCTGCGTGTGTGTGTGTGTGTGTGTGTGTGTGTGTGTGTGTGTGTGTAGCGGGGGCGGGGGGGGGGGGGGAAGGAGAGGACCGGGCTGGTCCAGCGCCGCGGCCCCTTTTGCATAGGCAGTGAGAAGGCGGCATCGCGCCCCCTTCTGCAAAGATGGTGCAAGACGGGCCGCAGTGGGGCCGGGTCCTAGTGCTGCCTCTTCCGCAGAGGCAGCCACAGAGGCAGCAGCGCAGGTCTGGTCCAGGCTCCCCACCTCCGCAGAGGCTGGACAGGGTGCAACCTGCTCTGCATCAACCTCCCACAGCCCCTCCCTGAGCCAGCCTGGCCCCAGATCACCCCCTACCCACCAGTGGGCAGGGGGCGCTGCCAGCGCTAAGAAGCAAGAGCCGAGGGCCGGCAGCTGCAGTGGCCGGCAGTGGCAGCAGCAGGGTGATGGGGGCAGTGCCTGAGGGCTCCTGAACCGTGAGAGGGGGCAGGCCGGGTTGAAGGACTCGGCCCCCCCCAGTGCACAAATTTTCGTGCACCGGGCCTCTAGTATTATTATATTCCGATCGTTTTTCTTGAATAATTGGTGTTTATTGCATGTAACATTATATTTAAAATCGTTTTTCTTGAGAAATTAAGGTTTATTGCATGTGACATTATTATATTTAAGATCGTCTTTCTTGAAATATTAAAAAATAAATAAAAATAAGTGAGTTATAGGAGATACACACATATATAATATATATGATAGACGTACATATATATCATACGTACATATGCATATATACTAATTCATGATAATTCGTATATTTGAAAATATTTTTTTTCAGTTTGTGATCTGTCTTGTAACTTTATATGTTATTATTAAATGTTGAGGTCCAGCCCCAGCAGGTCCAGGGGTTCCCAAAGGTGTGGATGGAGTCGGCGAAGAATGAAGGACACGAGACAGCGTTCAGTTGATCAGCAGCCTAGCCAGGATCTCTAGCCAGGATCTCCAGCCAAGTTCTGTCTTTTATTTTCTTGTTACATCTGTATTTATACCAGTTGATTTTAATCCTGTCAATTTCTATTCCAAAGGTTAGGGCGTTTCTTATCTCCATTTCAGGGAGTAAAGATTATGTAGCTTAAGGGTGATTGTTCATAGTTAAAGTGATTAACTACCCGCCTGGCATTTAGTTAAGGGGTTTTATTCCCTAACTTCAGGGAAAAATCCCTACCTGGGGAAACAACCTTTCTCGGAGAAGTAACCTTGGTTAAAACACATAGCGCTAAGGGGAGCAAACATATTAAGAACAATATGCCATATACGCCAGGTCCCTTGAAACATATGCTGTGCAGATGTTTCTTCCTTGCAGCGACCGTGTCAAGCAGCAAGGATGGACTGGCTTCCGGCAATTAAACAGAAACTTAAAATGAAAAAAAAAAAAGAATCCTATTTTGAAGCATTCCACTAAATTCAATTAAACTAAAAAAATTTTGCCAAAACCGGTTTGAGCGTCGGCCTGCGGACTCAAGGGTCCCAGGTTCGATTCCGGTCAAGGGCATGTACCTGGGTTGCGATCCCCAGTGGGGGATGTGCAGGAGGCGGCTGATCGATGTTTCTCTCTCATTGATGTTTCTAACTTTCTATCACTCTACCTTCCTCTCTGTAAAAAATCAATAAAATATATTTAAAAAAATAAAAAAATAAAAAAAATAAACTAAAAAAGTTTTTTAAGAATATGAATGTAGCCCTAACTGGTTTGGCCCAGTGGATAGAGCGTCAGCCTGCAGACTCAAGGGTCCCAGGTTCGATTCTGGTCAAGGGCATGTACCTTGGTTGTGGGCACAACCCCGGTAGGGGGTGTGCAGGAGGCAGCTGGTCGATGTTTCTCTCTCATCGATGTTTCTAACTCTCCATCCCTCTCCCTCTCTGTAAAAAGTCAATAAAATATATATATATTTTTAAAAATAATATGAATGTAATAGTCTTATAAATAAATAGAAACTTTTACTGGGAAAATCCACATTGAACTTGTATAGTTTCACCAAGAAATAACATTATTTTTAATTACCTTTTCAGTGTTCTTGTATTTTTCCCATCCTTTTAGCATTTTCAACCACTTAGCAGTTCTTTCAATTTCCAGGTGCTTTTGCTAAAACAAAATTGAAATTTATTGTTACTATTTGTTCAAGGCTTCTTTACTTACAAATTTCAAAACAATGTCTAAGAAAATGCTGCTAAAAAAGAACTGCTGAAAGAGTTATGCTATATTAAATAGCAAGTATTCTATTATTAAGTTGTATTAATAATTTCACAGTTGTACCAATGGAATTCCATAGCGAAAATTAAAGCTACACAGGAGGTACTTCACTGGGATAGGTAAAGAGAAGGGAATTATTGAAATTTTCCAACATACTCTATTATACAAATTTAAACCAAAAGGAAATTTAAAAATATTTTGAGCTATCTTTTAACAACAAAAACAAAACTTCAAAATCTCATTTTCTTCCCTTTCTCCACCCCACACATTTTACTGAGTTCTAGCTTTGTAATGTTTTCAGTGACAGAATTGCTTTTTTAAGGAATTGGATATTTATTGATTCATGGAGTGATTAATATTTAATTATCACTACGGTACTGAAAAATTATACAAAAGTAAGTACCACTTGCTACTGAAAAAGAAAGTTCGCCATTTGCTCAGGGTGACTGATATGGAAACATGCTGTGACAGGTGCTGTTACACAGTGTCCGGAAGGGTAAGATTAAGGTCATGGTGGAGAGAGAGGTCAAACCCGCCCCATGGATGGCAGAAGATGAGCCTTTCATAAGGTATGGAAGGATTATCAGGATTTTCATCAAGTGCAATGTGGGGAAGAATACTCTAAGAAGCATGAGTGGATGGAGTTCTGGGATAATCAGCATTAGATGAGGCTGAATAGAAACATAGTCTTGTAGGTCACATTAAATAGGGACCTGGAGCAAAGCTGGGGAATGGGGAAGGTGGCACAGAAAGTGCTTCTTCCTCATGTCTTTGCCAGGAGAGGGATATTGTTTTCCTAAGGAACTGGGCCTGCTGTCCAATCTCCTACTCGCTCCTAAGGTGGTAGAGTGACTATGTGGTTAGTAAATTTAGAAAAAGAACTGGGCGTACAGCCCTCGGTCCCTATTCTTATAAGCCAACAACTCTCAGAAAGCATATTTGTTCTCCAGTCTTTCAGGCAAGAAAAAACACCCTCCTCACCCAAGAAGTCTGTGGTGACCTTAGCCTATGACCAGGTGAACAAGTCTACCTCCTTTTAGGGGTCAGTACCAGGACGCCTGCACACCTAACCCACGCTTTTCCCTAGGAAAGTTGCTGGGATGTTTGCTGTTTCCCCACTGCCCAGATCAGTGCTAGGCACAGGGTAGGCACTTAATTATTTCATTTTCATGAGAGCAACACCCAGCATAATTTTCTCTTATAAGTTAGCTGAGATTCTGCTATTTTGTTCATTTTTCTCAATCCCTACATTTTCTTTTTTGCAGGCCTCTGTAAGTATAATAAGCATAATAATAAAAAGCAATGGAAATGAAAGATTCACAGGAAAGAAAATTATTCTAAGGATACATTTTGATGCTCAAAACGTATGCTTACTACAACACTATGAGGTAAACATAGCCATGCCCATTGTACAGATAAGGAAACAGAAGCACAAAAGGGTTAAGTTACTGTCCAAATTCCCCCACCTAGTAAGTTCAAGTTTGAAGGGGATTTGAGTTTGGACAGTCTGGCTGCAGGACCTGCACTTTTAGCTCCACATCTATTTCTTGCTTCCAACATGGCCCTGCTCTAGCTCAGGCAATGGCACTCCTGGATGAAGGCAATAGCTCCTACTGACTGTCTATATTCCAGCCTCAAACGGGCAGGTGGCACATGTCCACCATCAATATTTTCAGACTTAAAATGGGCATAAAATCCCAAAGAACAGTGCACCATATACTTAATATATACTTCACCAAAATCCACCCTGAATTTAGAAAAAGATTCTCACCAATAAGAATATTTTCTAGAATTTTACTTTTAGGCATATTATTAAAACTCTTTAGCTACTTCTTAACTCTTTATAAAAATTTTGATGGGTTTTTCATAATAAAAGATGATCACCTGTGAGCAAAAGGTATTGTTATAAATTCCATTTTTCAAAAGACTAAGCATATCCTTCATTATATTATTAGTGATAAAATGTTGCAGATGGTTCTAGAAATATGTTTAATTTTAAAACTCAGTGGGGCACTGAAATCTAATTAACGTTTCTGCTCAATGTGACTTTAGAGAAGGCGAAGCTATGAAAAATTAAGATTGATCTAAGCTGCCATTTGGGGTTTTTTTGCACTTCCTTTCCTGACTTATTCAAAGCATGTCTTCTTCTCCACCAACAGGAAAGCACCACATAATTCAAGCCAACCCAAGAGTATAATAACACACTTTGCCAGGAACAACCCTGCTGAGATCTAGCCTGTCTCTTGCTATCTTTCATTTTTATGACTATGAATTATCAATTAATCACTTTAAGAAATACTCTTTTTGTAATGGCACTCTTTGGTATTCTAATGCTTATCATATATATATATATATATATATATATATATATATATATATATAGACAATTTTAAATGCTATAAATTCTCACATGCAAAGACAACACACACACACACACACGACTTTTAAGAATCATGAAGCATGATTTTCTTTCCCCTGCAGCAAAAAACAAAAATAATACACCTTGAAAAAAGCTCCCACACTATAGGATTTTTAAAATTATATATCAGTAGTTGAATCTGGTTTAAATGTTAAGTCCATGATACCGTCAGTTCAGCTATACCAGACTTGAATGCATGTGAATGTCTTTCCCCGACCCCAACTCATGACTCTATAATTTATGGATAAAATATACTTTATCACCAAACATGCTACAGCTGACTATTCCAGAATTAATTGAAAACCATGTGACAAATGTGAACTCAAGTGCTCTAGAAAAACAGGCTGAGGAACAGCATCTTGCCATGAACTAGATTAACACCAACACAAACTAGAACATAACAGCAAGCTAGAATTTCAACCTACAAGTTCAGCAAATACTTGAAATTCAACATATCCAAAACCATTTCCTTCACCATGCTATTATTCTCCTCTTTCCTATCATAAATTAACAGCATCACTACTCACTAAGTCAAACAAACTAGAACCTTAAGTTGTTCTCAATCTTCATTTTACCTTCCTTCCCACATCCAAACTACACTCTGCTGGTCCCATCCATGTCTCATGTTTCCATCATGTCCTCTGCCCTAATTCAGGTGATCCCAATTCCTAGATGAAAGCATTAGCTCCTTACCAGTAACCCTGATGGTCTTCAAAAAAGCCTCTACACTTCCACCACAATTTTTAAAACCTGTCCCAGTTTAAAATCCATCATTGGCTACCCATTAATCATCTACAAAAATGTTCCACATGGATGGGTCTTCACAATATGGCCCCAACTCACCTTCTTGCTACTTTTATGATTTGGCATCTTGAACTATTCGTCATTAACACATAATGCTATTAATTGGATAATCTGTTCCTTAACAGCTCTACTCAGTGGTCTTACCATACACTGATAATCCCTGTCTGAATCAATTCTGATTCTGATAGTGGTAAATGATGTTTGTTTGTTTTTTCTAATTCTATGATTCCTTCTATATGACTGACATTTTTCTATTAAAAAGGATTTCCTTCCTAGCTCCTCCACTATGATACAAAGGGCTATTTTACCAATGTATTGTAATCTACTATCATTATTCTTTTTGAAGTTCAAATTGTCCCAAATTTAGCTGACCCCTCTTATTTGGATGGAGATTTCTCCCTTTAAGTGGATCCTTTAGACATACCCTATCTGGCACAAAATAATTCAGGCTCACTTTATACGCTTTCTACCTAGACTTTCAACAGCCATTTCTTTAAGAAACAGTGGTTCTTTTTAATGGGAAATGATACTCAAAAATTAAGACCTGGGTACTAGATATGCTCATCATTGCAATTTTTAAAATCATATAGGAGACCTGGGTATAAGAAACTTCTACTCCCCTAAGGATATGACAACATGTATCAAAAGGAAAATTATGCCGAGGTCTTAGTCTCCATCCTACGTTCTCTATATCTTTCCATTAACTCCGCTGACTACAAAAATGGTACATTGTTGTATACTCCCACCCCCCAAGGTTGTTAGCAGCAAAGGACTAAATTTACATTTGAAGTATACATTCAATTATCCTAAATTGCCGTCCCCTATGAGTCACAACTGCCCCTCTCCTATTTGCGCAAGGAGGGTATAAAGACTAAAACTGGACCAGCATCTTGTTTGTTACCTCTCAACCTCTATATATTTTTTAACCATATGCAGGACCAGTAAGCACTTAACAACTGCTGATCACCCACATAAGTATTAGCTTCCCTTCTATCTGGTCCAAGGCTCCTCCCACTATTAACATGATTAATAATCCAGATAGTAAAGGCTAAACATACACACAATGCATGAATGGATATTAAAAAGCCTTCTCTTCTAGAATAAGAAATCTTAGGACTTTAATGAAATTTATGTCTTCAGATATTTTTTTGTCTCTCCTGCATTAGGATGGCTGACAGGATCAAGTTGACCAGAGACACGAACACCTACACCTCACCAGCAGAGGTCAGGAGAGGACAAGAAGAAGGAAAGCTTTGTGTTTTGACAGAATAACATTGAGAAATCTATCAGTCATGTATTTTAAGATTTCAAACCACATAAAATTAAAATATAGTTTCAAAAGATATGAATAGACTCCCATATTTTGTACGCCATGCAAAATATTGCACTACATAAAGGAACAGATGAATCCACAAAGATGCATAGTTTTACATATCCTTTCTCCTTATTAAAAACATCAATAAGCTCAAAGGAACAATGTAACTCATTATTAATATTGTTCTCTGTAGAATAAACACAATAAGTGTGTTTGTTTATTTGTTTAATTGCCTATTTGAAGGAATCCAAAGCACTTTGTAAATATCAACACTAATCCTTGTATGGGGGGCTATCCTTATCTTATACAAAATATCCTTATTTTAAACAGAGAACTGCCTTCCGTAAAATACTG